TATACAGTCATGCAAAGGTGCACAATTTTGGGGTGGAAAATGTACACCTTTTAAACATGAGTTTTACAGCTGTTAACCCGATTCTGCCCGCACTTTGGCTAAACATTGATTACCCCCCCCCCTTTTATCCTGGTTACTTCAGTTTTTTAGGCATGTAGACCTGCCTCTAGCTATGCGTAAGAAAAAGGCGGGTAAGAAATTAAATTATCATTTTACTGACACAAAAACACAGTATGTCACAGCAAATGAGATATATATGCTGGATTTCATATCACAAAATAACAAGTCGAACACTTCCCAAGCATCTAGAACTGTGATGTATTTTCGAATGATGTGCACAGATCCAAGTACGGTGGCCTTTTGCAGGTGACAGATCGTGTTTTTGTCAATGTTTATTGTTCCCAAATGCCGGCTGAGATCTTTTGGCACAGCACCCAGTGCGCCAATGACCACTGGGACCACCTGTACTGGTTTATGCCAGAACCTTTGCAGTTCGATTTTGAGGTCCTGATAATGGCGGAGTTTTTCCTGTTATTTTTCCTCAATGCGACTGTCACTGGTATGGCAACGTCCATAATCCAAACTTTTTTCTTTTCCACAATCATGTATTGTGTTCCAAAACTTTGTCAGTCTGGATACGAAAGTCCCACAGTTTTTTCGCGTGTTCATTTTCTACTTCCATTGCAGATTTATGATCCCACTGGTTCTTTACTACTGGCAGGTGGTATTTGTGACATAAGTTCCAATGAATAATTTGGGCCACAGAGTTGTGCCTCTGTTTGTAGTCCGTTTGTGCGATTTTCTTGCTGAGGATATGATCAATGGTTTCATCAGCTTCCTTGCACGATCTGCATTTTGGGTCATCAGCTGATTTTAAAATTCTGCCCTTAATTATTATTATTATCATCATCATCATCATCACCACCTTAAACCCCTGTGCCGGCAGGACTGAAGACCAACAGGTCGCAGGTTCGAATCCGGGGAGAGGCGGATGAGCTCCCTCTGCCAGCTTCAGCTCCCCAAGTGGGGACATGAGAGGATGATAAAAACGTCAAATCATCCGGGCGTCCCCTAGGTAACATCCTTGCAGACGGCCAGTTCTCTCACACCAGAAGCGACTTGCAGTTTCTCAAGTTGCTCCTGACACGACAAAAAAAAAATCACCACCACCATCAAAGCTGAATTCAGCAGAGACTTCAGCAAAAGTGTGCAATGACGCAACAGGTAAGGTTGACCGGCAATGCTGAATCAGATTTGTCCCAGCTGAAAAGTTGAGACACCACTGCTGCGGTTCAGAAGTGGAAAATGCATTGCAGCACCAGATCTGGGTGCCTATAATTCACTCCTAGGTCATATAGTAGGTTTTCATGGCAGCGTGGGAAATCAAACTCGGCTCAAATCACTATACCATACTGGCTCTTATGTCCTGGTTTTTAAATAATTGAACCTCAGTCCAAAATCGGGATTGTATATAACAGAGAAGCTTCCACTCACAACAAAGGAAGAACTTCTTGAAAAATGCCTTACATATTTCCAGAAGATCTCTGAATCAAGAGGCACCCTTTTCCCACGTTGTAAGGCAAATTGGAACTGACTGCACTTCCATTTTGCAAGTGGAAGTGCAGCTCCACAAAGCTCCATATTCAGGAAGGAATAAATATTTTGAAACACGCCAACAAGTGAAAGAGAATAGCTTTGCTTTGAGAGAAGGAACAACTGATGTGGGCTATCAAACTGCAAACAATTAGAGCAAGAAGCAGGTGCTAAAATGCTGGGGAAAAGGAGCAGAAGTTGGCCATTTGGATTAACATTTTAGTAGAAAGCCGTCCCTTACATCCTTGCGACTGTCCATGTTGGTCTTGGGTGTGATTCGAGTTGTAGGTCTAAACAACTAGAAAGCAAAAAGTTTGCTATCCTGTAATAAAACAAAATGAGGAAGCTGCCTTGGCTTTTACTCAACCTTCTGTGAAGTTGTATAAAGAGGGAAGTGAAATACACCTCCCCTACTTCCTTAAAACGCTGTAGAGTAATAGGTGTTGAAATATTTCTCAGCATTCAGAATCAACCAGGAAATGTTAGGAAAATATTATTGCTTACTGTAAAATCAGTCTTTTATCCCAAGGACTACTACATTGAATATGAATTAGATCTATTTCCACAACAGAAGTTTCACTTCCCTACAAAGAGATTAAAATACCAAGATGTTTGATCTTAAGAAGCGTTTCCAACCTCTGAACTTCCTTCTGTACATTTGGAGGAGGAGAGGTGGGATGGTGATTTCCTAGACTTTCAAAATAGAAAAAGTAATGTGTCTAGTTTTAAAATGTCCTTAAAATAAACACATTTGTCTAAAGTTATTTAGTTAAGGTAAAGGTTTTCCCCTGACATTAACTCCAGTTGTGTCTGACTCTGGGGATTGGTGCTCATCTCCATTTCTAAGCCGAAGAGCTGGCGTTATCCATAGACACCTCCAAGGTCATGTGGCTGGCATGACTTGCATGGAGCACCGTTACCTTCCCACCTATTGATCTACTCACATTTGCATGTTTTCAAACTGCTAGGTTGGCAGAAGCTGGGACTAATAGCAGAAGCTCATGCCGTTCCCTGGATTCGAACCTGCGACCCTTCAGTCAACAAGCTCAGCAGCTCAGTGCTTTAACCCACTGCGCCACGCATTTCCAACATTTGTCGGTAAATCTGCCTCTATTGATTTTGGCTAGTTTTTCTGGTGTTAGGTACCATATGTTAGGTACCTTAATACACCTATGGTGGAAGTGTAAAAAAATCAAACCCTTCTGGCAGTCGATACACAAGAAGATAGAATCCATCCTGCAAATAAATTTCGAGTTCAAAGCAGAATATTTTTACTAGGTTTAACAGACTTTGAAATGGAAAAGAATACAAACAGAATCTTCATTTATCTAATAACAGCAGCCAGGATTAAACTGGGACAATTATGGAAAACCAAAGAAATACCAACAATTGAAAACTGGCTTTTGAAAGTCTGGGACATAATGAATATGGATCTGCTAAGGCAAAAATTAACAGACAACAATTTACAAAGACAAAAAACAAATTGATTTTATTAGAAAAGACAATGTAGAAATTCATATTCAGGAATCATAATAAAGTATCCGAGGCTAAAGTATAAAGATAAATCAGACAGCAATTAGTTGGGAAATTTAACATTAAGAGTCATCACCACAACCTAAAGCAACCTGGAAGCAACATATAACATTTTCTTCTTTTTTAATTTGTATTTTTTCTCTTTTTTTCCTCACCTCCTTAGTGTTTACTCCCCTTATTTAACCTCCCTTTCCCCTACTCCTTTCTTTCCTACTTTCTCTTCTTATATTGTTCTCACACTTTCAATGTATAATTATTATGATTTTATAAGTTCTTTTCACGCTCCAATCTTTCGTAGTCAATCTATCTATGTATATAATAAAAGTCGGTGTTTGTATGCGGAGGGAGGACGGTGTATGCGGCAGCTTTCTAATTGGTTGTCACTTTCACAGGCCACTGTGACCAGCATGGGTGATGGACCTGGATCAAACTTGGCACACATAACCCCCATGATCCCCTTTACATCCTGGTGAGATTTGGGGGAGGATGGACAAAGGTTGATGGGGTTTGTAGTAGTTTCAAACCCATCAGTTCCCACAGAACACTGTGGCCCCCAACAAAGACTCATAAAGACCAAACTTGGCACACAGAGCCCCCATGACCCACTCTACATCCTACTGCAGTTTGGAGGAGGGCAGACCATGGATGATGGAACTTGAAGTACCTCCACTCACTTCCTGAGACTGCTGCGACCCTCATCAATGACCGATCAAGACCAGACTTGACACACAGAACCCCCATGACCCACTCTACATCCTGGTGCTATTTGGAGGCGGATGAACCATGGACAATGGGACTCTCAGTACCTTCACTAACTTCCTGAGAGTACTGCGAGCTACATAAATAACTGATAAAGACCAACCTTGGCACACAATGCCTTTCTCAAATTACCCGGGCAGCGCCGGGTCCCCAAGCTAGTTCTCAATAAAAATATGTTGGGGGGAAAAAACCACTGAGCCACCAGGGGCTCCTATTTATTTAGTTATTGAAATATTTCTATCATATCCTACTTACAAGGCCAGGGAGAAACTACTGGACAACAGCCATGAGTTTATGAAGATTTATTATTCACTTCTTGTTAGAGTAATGTATTTCCATTTTTTTAGAAACCCTTTCCAATATATGAAAAAGATGATATAAGCTTTTGCACATGAACATTTAAATCCAATTGTCTGTCCCAAGTGAACCAGATGCAGAAAAACTATGAAATTTATATAAGCATTGAATTATCACTCAGCAATTGAGTTTGCTATAGTTGGGACTCAGGGCCCTTCCATACCCAGAATCCACAATATCTGCTTTGAACCGATTATCTGAGTCCACACTGCCATATAATCCAGTTCAATGTGGATTTTATACAGCTGTGTGGAAGGGGCCTCAAAAACATGGTTTAGGCAAAGAAGGGAAAAGAAAGAGTGTGCAATATTAAGATAATCCACAATATCTGCTTTGAACTGGATTATCTGAGTCTACACTGCTATATAATCCAGTTCAATATGGATTTTATACAGCCATGTGGAAGGGGCCTCGGAAACATGGCTTACACAAAGAAGGGAAAAGAAAGAGTGTGCAATATTAAAAATTTATTTCAAGAATGTTATCCTTTCCAAACTTGGAGAATAAGGTCAATATGCTTAGACAGAAAAGAAATATCTGTATAATGAATTCACCTTTAAGATTATAATTACTCTATATAACCCAATGAGTACATTGCATACTGCACTGCAATATTTGGCCCAAATGGTTAAATAGAAGTAATCATCATTTGAATTGTTGAGCAACTGAAACAGGAGAGATGGAAGAAAGGAGACAGAGAATTTTTTTCCAGTAATTGAACGAAACACGGCATGCTTTAATAACATGAATATACTTACTGGTGAACACCAAGCACATCCCAATCTTTTCCAACACCTTGAGGAGCTGCTAACTTCTGAAGAATGTCTGGGCAAATTTCCACAAGTTTGCAAAGAAGAGACCAGCCCACCTTTAAAGCCATAATAAAATCACAATTACAAACATAATAAAAAATGTCAGCATGAGAAATGGCAGAGAATATAGGTCAGCCATAGAAAGGAAAACATTGTGAATTCATCCCATATTCATGAATTACCACAGCACTGTTGAGTTCACAACTTGACACCACCCAGTTTGAAAAAATATTCTATGTACATAGCAAAATACATTGCAAATTTACAAGCAATTGTGAATGGTACACAGTTTAAATGGACAGATGGACCTTCCTACACTAGAACTAGAAGTGGCAATGTTATTATGGAAGAAAGCGCATCCATTTAGACACAACTAATTAACCAGTGACAGCAGTGAATACAATAAATGTAAAAATGGCAAAGCAGCTTGCCTGGATGATCTATGGATGGAACAAATTAAGAACTTTGGTCCAAAAGCAAGGTGCTGGCTGCTGAAGCTGATGAACAACCGCATTGCATCCTGTCAGATCCCTAAAATCTGGAGGAAAGCAAGAGACATAGCCATCTTGAAACCAGGCAAAGACTGCAATGACTCTAAAAAACTATAGACCAATCTATTTGCTGTGTCATCTTTATAAAGCTCTGGAGAGATTTATCCTGCACATAATTCTGGAAAAAAATAGACCCATTTATGATCCCACAGCAAGCTGGCTTCAGGAAAGGGAAAAGCTGAACATCACAAGTGCTGAACCCGACTCAGCACATAGAAGATGGTTTTAAAAGACTAGCAGATTACAGAAACTGTCTTCATAGACCTGTCAGCAGCTTATGATATTGTAAATCATCTCCTCCTGAAAAAATATGTATAGTATCACAAAGGATTACCACCTCAGTGTAAAAGGTAAAGGTCGTCCCCTGACATTAAGTCCAGTCATGTCTGACTCTGGGGTGTGGTGCTCATCTCCATTTCTAAGACGAAGAGCCAGCGTTGTCCGTAGACACTTCCTAGGTCATGTGGCCAGCATGACTGCATGGAGCACCGTCACCTTCCCACTGGAGCGGTACCTATTGATCTATTCACATTTGCATGTTTTTGAACTGCTAGTTTGGCAGAAGCTGAGGCTGACAGCGGAAGCTCACGACATTCCTCAGATTCGAACCTGCAACCTTTCAGTCAACAAGCTCAGCAGCTCAGCACTTTAACCCACTACGCCACCGGGGGCTCCCTTATTATTATTACTAGCCGTCCCCTGCCACGTGTTGCTGTGGCCCACATGGGGGTTCTGTGTGGGAGGTTTGGCCCAATTCTATTGTTGTGGGTTCAGAATGCTCTGTGATTGTAGGTGAACTATAAATCCCAGCAACTACAACTCCCAAATGACAAAATCAATTTTTTGAGTGAATTTGGGATGTTAGGTGTCTTGTGTCCAAATTTGGTGTCAATTCGTCCAGTGGTTTTTGAGTTCTGTTAATCCCACAAACAAATATTACATTTTTATTTATATAGATTATTATTATTATTATTATTATTATTATTATTATTATTATTATTTGTAACTCAACAAGGTGAGCCCACAACAGACACTCTGCTGGCTGTTGTATTGAATCACACGTTGGACACTTCCCAAGTGTCTAAGACTGTGTGATGTATCAGCGAATAATGCGTGCAGATCCCAGTAAGGTAGCCTTCTGCAGCTGGCAGATGGTAATTTTGTCAGCGCGGATTTTGTTTAAGTGCAGGCCAAGGTCTTTAGGCACTGCACCCAGTGTGCCAATCACCACTGGGACCACTTTTACTGGCTTGTGCCAGAGCTTTTGCAGCTTGATCTTTAAATCCTCATATCGTGTCAGCTTTTCCAGTTGTTTCTCTTCAATCCTGCTGTCACCTCGGATTGCAACATCGACAATCCATACTTTGTTTTTTAACACGATCATGAGATCAGGAGTATTGTGCTCCAAAACTCTGTCTGTCTGAATTTGGAAGTCCCAGAGGAGTTTGACGTGTTCATTTTCTGCAACTTTTTCCGGCTATTATTATTACTACTACTACTATTATTATTATTATTTACTTAAACTCCACTTTTTCTCTCCACAGGGAGCCTAGACTGTCGAGAAAGATCAAATCCATACAGCAAATTATAACTAACAGAAGTTTTCTTTCTATCCAGTTGAAATCCTGAGGGCGTGACACAACAATGACGAGATTGTCAGAGTCGCAAGAAGAACTAGCAAAACAACCACAGAACTCTGGATGAACACTTGTTTTTATCTGTCTAAAACCCATTTCATCTCATTATGCTTCGTGACGTGCCCACATAAATGCTGTTTTGAAGCAGAGAGTTTGCCTTCCAATTGTTTACTCTGTTTAAAACGGCTCGAGAGGTGATATTATTTGCTCGTTGCACAATAGGTTACATAAATGCATTCTTCAAGTGGAAAATATTGAAATCAGTGGATCAAGAGGCTCTCTTGAGGAAATACCAGCATTTTTGGCTTCTCAGCAGTCATATACATGATTCCTGGCAATTGTGCTTGAAAAGCATGGCAACTTCGTATTCCAGTGGCAAGGTAATAGGTAATGTTCCAGCAGTCACCAGCCAACCCCTCTCCAATGCCAGAGATACAGCTGGTGTAACATTTGAAAATGTTGATCATTTCCGCTACCCTGGCAGCCACCTCTCTGCCAAAGTCAACATCGACACTGAATTACAACACCTCCTGAGCTCTGCAAGCGCAGCATTTTTCCGAATGAAGCAGAGAGGGATTTTTTTTTTTGTCGTGTCAGGAGTGACTTGAGAAACTGCAGGTCGCTTCTGGTGTGAGAGAATTGGCCGTCTGCAAGGACGTTGCCCAGGGGACGCCTGGATGATTTGATGTTTTATCATCCTTGTGGGAGGCTTCTCTCATGTCCCCGCACGAGGAGCTGGAGCTGATAGAGGGAGCTCATCTGCCTCTCCCCGGATTCGAACCTGCGACCTGTCAGTCTTCAGTCCTGCCAACACAGGGGTTTAATCCACTGCGCCACTGGGCGCTCCATCCGTAGGGATACCAAGGTGCTTGTTTATAAAGCTATTGTCCTCCCAACCCTGCTATATGCCTGCAAAACGTGGACTGTTTACAGATGTCACATGCAACTCCTGGAACGATTCCATCAGCGCTGCCTCCGGAAAATCCTGCAAATCTCTTGGGAAGACAGGCGGACAAACGTCAGCGTGCTGGAAGAAGCAAAGACCACCAGCATTGAAGCGATGGTCCTCCGCCATCAACTCCGCTGGACTGGCCACGTTGTCTGGATGCCCGACCACCGTCTCCCAAAGCAGTTGCCCTACTCCGAACTCAAGAATGGAAAACGGAATGTTGGTGGACAGGAAAAGAAATTTAAAGATGGGCTCAAAGCCAACCTTAAAAATTGGCATAGATACTGAGAACTGGGAAGCCCTTGAGCGCTCCAGCTGGAGTTCAGCTGTGACCAGCAGTGCTGCAGATTTGAAGAGGCACGAATGGAGGGTGAAAGAGAGAACCGTGCCAAGAGGAAGGCACGTCAAGCCAACCCCAACCGGGACCGCCTTCCACCTGGAAACCAATGCCCTCACTGTGGGAGAAGATGCAGATCAAGAATAGGGCTCGACAGCCACCTACAGACTCACAAGAATTCTGATCCTGGAAGACTATCCTACTCCGCCAACAAGGGATCACCTAAGTAAGTAAATAATATGTAAATAATACATATGACTGCTGAGAAGCCAACACATGCTATGCTTTATCTCTTTTATTGTGTTGTTAGTTCTGTTGTTCTGGTTTTATTGCATTGTGTTTTGCTGTAATATATTTCTGGGCTTGGCCTCATGTAAGCCTCTCTGAGTCCCCTTTGGGGAGATGGTGGCGAGGTATAAATAAAGATTATTATTATTATTATTATTATTATTATTATTATTATTATTATTAAATCAGGGAGAACTATGGCCTCTTCTACACTGCCATATAAATCCAGATATTCTGCTTTGAACTGGATTATATGGCAGTGTAGATGCATATAATACAGTTCAAAGCAGATAATCTGGATTATATGGCAGTGTAGAAGGAGCCTAAGTGGCCCTCCAGATGTTGCTGGACTGCAGTTCCCAGCATTCTTCATCACTGACTATGCTGGCTAAGAGTGCAACATGGAGAGAGCGCCACAAATCCCATCCACAATATGATTCAAATAAAGCTGGATAAATATAATTTAACCAAATTGTGTGTTCGTTTAAAAAGAGAAAGAATACCAAACTATGTATCTATATAAATAAAAATGTAATGTTCGTTTGTGGGATTAACATAACTCAAAAACCACTGGATGAAATGCCGCCAAATTTGGCCACAAGACACCTACTATCCCAAGGAGTGGCCATCACTCAAAACAAAATGATTTAGTCATTTGGGAGTTGTAGTTGCTGGGATTTATAGTTAACCTACATTCAAAGAGCATTCTGAACTGAATGTGTGACCGCATTTCTGTGTACGAAACCACACGATCTCTTTGATCATCTGGAGAGGCCCTGCTCGTGTTCTCAGGCGCGATTGGTGGGGACGAGGGAGGGGGCCTTCTCAGTGGTGGCCCCTCGACTCTGGAACTCACTCCCCAAGGATATTAGGCATGCCCCCAACTTTGGCAGTCTTTGGGAGGAGCTTGAAAATGCGGTTGTTCCAGGGCGCCTTCCCAGAATAATGAACCCTGAGCATTATGTCCTCTAAATGCACTTTACACCGATTTAGGATGGCTTGTACGATTTTACCAACGCCCCACCTCTCCTACCTTGTTCATGCCTAGCATTATTTTTAAACTTTAATTGCATTTGGCCCAGCCATAGTTTTTAAAATGTGTGTTGTATTATTATTATTGTTATTGCCTTTTTGTTTATGAGTTTATTTTAATTGTTTATTGTTGTTGTTATTGCTTGTATTGACGTATTGTGGGCTCGGCCGAATGTAAGCCGCACCGAGTCCCTTGGGGAGATGGTAGCGGGGTACAAATAAAGTTTAATTATATTATTATTATTATTAACTCCACCAATGATGGAATTGAACCAAACATGGCACACAGGACTCCCGTGACTAACAGAAAACACTAGAAGGGTTTGGTGGGCATTGACCTTGAGTTTGGGAGTTGTAGTTCACCTACATCCAGAGAGCACTGTGGACTCAAACAATGATGGATCTGGACCAAACTTGGCACAAATATTCCATATGCCCAAATATGAACACAGATGGAGTTTGGGGGAAATAGACCTTGACATTTGGGAGTTGTCGTTACTGGGATTTATAGTTCATCTACAATCAAAGAGCATTCTGAATCACACAAACAACAGAATTGGGCCAAACTTCCCACACAGAACCCCCATGCCCAACAGAAAATACTTAAGGCCACCCAGTCCAACTCCCTTCACCAGGGCAAGAAAACATAATCAAAGCCCTCCTGACAAAGAGCCATCCAGCAATAAATATAGATAGATATATATGATTCATACAAACACATAGTATGATAGATTTGAAAAGGACCCCTAAGAAGGGCAATCATATGTTGCATGTTCCAGAGTAGACAAATCAGACAATCTCCACATCAACACTGACAAAGAAACAGCAAGAAATACTGCTTACCAACAAGGAGAAAGAAATTCCATATATTAGAAACCAATATTTTCTAATTACTTTATTTTCTAGATCACCACACTGGGCCACAGCAACACATGGCAAGGGACGGCTAGTATTATAACTATTGAGTTTTTAAATTCACCATAAATTCCACAATGAAAACCCTGGGATAAGTCACCATATGTCAGGAACGACTTGAAAACACACACCAAAACAACACCGCTGTTTGAGACTGAGATCATTCCCCCAGGACAGTGAAATCACTATGTTTAAGTAGACCGTAGCAGCAACATATTAAACAGTCAAAGCTTTTTCCGACACAAAAATAACTAGTTCAGTGTTCGCCTGTCACGGAGCTGTCAAAGGAAAGAGAAGCAAAAAGCAAGGAAAAAGGGAAACAATCTTTGGAGCGCGAGGAAGTCAACGAAAGCAAAGGCCAACACTTTCAAGTCACTTATTTTGGGTGGGGAATTGTGCTCCTTTTCAAGTCAATCCCATTTACACTGAAAGGAATGACTCCTGGGGCAATAGGCTTCTGGAAATGAAGTTTAAGTCTCTTCTGAAATGCAGGTCGGAGGGAAATTCAGTTCAGACATGCCCCTCCTCCAGAAAAACGTGGGCATTTGCAGCTCCATCTGGAACTATTTGTCTCCAGTCACATTTTTCTCCTCTTTCACTTTGCAACTTATGTCATCTCACTATCCCTGAGAGTTAGGAAAAGTATCCCAAAAAGTCAGTTTGTGGACTGAGAATAGGGTCCATCTGGAACAATTTTCTCCCAAACGCTTTTTTATTCCATTTGGTTTAGTAGTCACTGAATTGTGAGATAAAAGCATCCTGAAAAGTCCATTGTTTTGGATTGAAGACAGGCCCCGTCCGGCACCATATTTTTCTCCTACTACATTTTATTTATTTATTTATTTACAGCTTTTATATTCTGCCCTTCTCACCCCGCAGAGGACTCAGGGCGGATTACAGTGTACACATATATGGCAAACATTCAATGCCAATTTTAACATACAACATATACAGACATACACAGAAGCTATCTGTAACTTTTTCTGGCCGCTAGGGGATCTGTCGCTTTAATCGTCCATCTGCGACGCTGATGAAGCACTTCCGCATTCCCACATGCTTCCTCGTTGGAATGCTTTGCTGGAGTCTTCTTTATGGCCTCATAAATCAGTTAATTTAGCCTCCCCACACTTTAAGGTGGTACCTTATTTTCCTACTTGACAGATGCAACTGTCTTTCAGTTTGCAAAGGTCGACAACAGGCTACACACAATTGGTTGGAAACCCACTCCAACCCGGGCTGGCTTCGAACTCATGATCTTTTGGTCAGAGTGATCTTAATGCAGCTGACACTCAGCCAGCTGCGCCACAATCCCGGTCCTATTTGGTAAAGGCCCCTTCTACTCTAACATATAAACCAGATTAGGTTCTTGTGGGTTTTTTCGGGCTATAGGGCCATGTTCTAGAGCAGGGGTCCTCTAACTTTTTAAACAGAGGGCCAGGTCATAGTCCCAAAATTGTTGGAGGGCCGGATTATAATTTGAAAAAAAACATGAATGAATTCCTATGCACACTGCACGTATCTTATTTGTAGTGCAAAAACACTTTAAAACAATACACTAATTAAAATGAACAATTGTAACAAATATAAACTTATTAGTATTTCAGTGGGACGTGTGGACCTGCTTTTGGCTGATGAGATAGGATTGTTGTTGTTGTTGTTGTTGTGTGCTTTCAAGTAGTTTCAGACTTTGGTTGACCCTGAGCGAGGGCCGGGTAAATGACCTTGGAGGGCTGCATCTGGCCCCCGGGCCTTAGTTTGAGGACCCCTGTTCTAGAGGCATATTAAAAAAACTCTAAAATTACAACAGCAAAACAGCAGAGAGGAAACAACCAGGCACATCTTAACACCTCTCAACAAAAGATTGTCCCAGGCTCAGCCAGGCCTTCAAATGCTAATGAAGGTGGTCAGTTGAAACATTCACACCTAGCTCCAGCAGAGAAGAGCTCTTTGCCCCACCCCAGCCATTCCACAGATATATAAACCCATTGTCCTAATTCCAACAGACCTCACTACCTCTGAGGATGCTTGCCATAGATGCAGGCGAAACGTCAGGAGAAAATGCCTCTAGAACATGGCCCTATAGCCCGAAAAAACCCACAAGAACCTAGTGATTCCAGCCATGAAAGCCTTCGACAATACAATAAACCAGATTATTAAAGTAGATAATCCACATTATCCACTTTGAACTAGATTGAGTTTACACTGCCATAGAATCCAGTTCAAAGCAGATTTTATATGGCAGTGTAGATGGGTCCTTAGTGATCCATGCCAACCTTCCCATTTTTGAGAGTTAGGAAAAGTATCCTTTAAAAAGTCCATTTTTGGATAGAGTAAAGGATCTATCCCAAAAAAAGATTTCACCAAATGTTTATCCTATTTGAGTTAGGCCCCTGTATTATGTTAAAGTGTTTTTTGCACTACAAATAAGATATGTGCAGTGTGCATAGGAATTCATTCATATCATAGAATCATAGAATCAAAGAGTTGGAAGAGACCTCATGGGCCATCCAGTCCAACCCCCCTGCCAAGAAGCAGGAATATTGCATTCAAATCACCTTTGACAGATGGCCATCCAGCCTCTGTTTGAAAGCTTCCAAAGAAGGAGCCTCCACCACTCAGAGAGTTCCACTGCTGAACGGCTCTCATAGTCAGGAAGTTCTTCCTCATGTTCAGATGGAACAAATTATATATTATATTTTTTTCAAATTATAATCCGGCCCTCCAATAGTTTGAGGGAATGTGACCTGGTTTACAAAGTTTGAGGACCCCTACAATAATTAAAACAAATATAAACATATTAGTACTTCAATAGGAAGTGTGGGCCTGTTTTTGGCTGATAAAATAGGATTGTTGTTGCTGTTGTGTGCTTTCAAGTCGTTTCAGATTTAGGTTGACTGAGTGAGGGCTGGGTAAATGACCTTGGAGGGCCGTATGTGGTCCCCGGACCGTAGCTTGAGAACCCCTGCTCTAGACACTATACTCCTATGGATGCAGGCCAAAATCCCTCTAGAATCATAGAATCAAAGAGTTGGAAGAGACCTCATGGGCCATCCAGTCCAACCCCATTCTGCCAAGAAGCAGGAATATTGCATTCAAATCACCCCTGACAGATGGCCATCCAGCCTCTGTTTCAAAGCTTCCAAAGAAGGAGCCTCCACCACACTGCTGAACGGCTCTCACAGTCTGGAAGTTCTTCCTTATGTTCAGATGGAATTTCCTTTCTTGTAGTTTGAAGCCATTGTTCTTGCTCCCTCCTCCCTATGACTTTCTCTCAGGTATTTATACATGGCTATTATGTCTCCTCCTTCTCTTCTTCAGGCTAAACATGCCCAGCTCTTTAAGCCGCTCCTCATGGGGCTTGTTCTCCATACCCTTGATCATTTTAGTCACCCTCTTATGGACACTTTCCAGCTTGTCAATATCTCTCTTCAATTGTGGTGCCCAGAATTAGACACAATATTCCAGGTGTGGTCTAACCAAGGCAGAATAGAGAGGTAGCATGACTTCCCTGGATCTAGACACTAGACTCCTATGTATGCAGGCCAAAATCCCTCTGATCCTGCAAAGGGAAAGCATCCTTCAGAATCCAAGTAGGGAAGGATGAGGCTGGATCTACCCTACCATATGACCCAGAATCTGATCCAATTTGGAATTGGATTATATGAGTCTACACTGCCAGATAATCTGGAATCAGATCCTGGGATATAGAGTAGATCCAGGCGAGAAGCAGCCAAAGGGAGAGACTAATATTTACCTGTTGCACACTGGCCACTCTCATGTAGGAGACCAAAACCAGGAGCAAAGGCACGTGGATGTTTTTGCCACGGAATAACCTGCCACCTGGAGAAAGAAGAGAAGGGGGAAAAGATCAGGAAGGAGGAATCCCTTGTCAGCTTTCTCTGGAGGGAAGAGAAGCCCCCTTTTTACCGCTTGGCAGGGAGGCGAGGGAGAGAAGGTCCTGCAGGATCTGCACCAGGGTCTCGATCTGCTTCCCTTCCTGGACGTTCTTCAGGCGGACGATGAGTTTCCTTAAGGCGGCTTCTCGCCTCTCCTCGTCCTTCTCCTCTTCCTCGCAGGCTGGCACCCCCTCAGTGGCCATGGCTGCCTTCCCACTAAGGGCCAAGATGCCCAGGAGTCGCCTCCCGCCAGTAAACAAATCTTTTGAGTCAGCAGGGGAAGCGGCGGGTTGTTTGGAAGTCGCCTCTCCCCCCGCTTGGCTTGACTTTCCTTTCCAAGCTTGGTGGGTGCAATGCGCGCCGCGGCCAAAGGTGGCGCTAGAGGGAGACGAAATCCCCGCGGGGGCTTTGACGCGCAGCTCCCTTTGCCAATCCCGCACAAGCCCCTCTGTTGCAACTTCCTCCCTTACTAAAGTAATCCCCTTCTCGTCCAATATGGGAATATTACACCACTTTCTCCTTCCAGGGAAGGAAGTCTGTATGGGAGGAAGGGGTGGGGAAGGAAAGTCCGCATTTGTGGCTCAAAGCAGGGCTTTCCGTTCCCTCTTGGAAAAGGGGCAGCCCAAGGTTTCAGTTTCATGGTCACGAGTTTGAAAGCAGAAGACAAAAACAAAACAGATTGGAGGGTGAAGAAGTCTGGGTTGTTGTAGGTTTTTCCAGGCTATATGGCCATGTTCTAGAGGCATTTTCTCCTGACGTTTTGCCTGCGTCTATGGCAAGCATCCTCAGAGGTAGTGAGGTCTGTTGGAACTAGGAAAATGGGTTTATATATCTGTGGAATGACCAGGGTGGGACAAAGGACTCTTGTCTGCTGGAGCTAGGTGTGAATGTTTCAACTGACCATCTTGATTAGCATTTGATGGCCTGGCAGTGCCTGGAGCAATCTTTTGTTGAGAGGTGATTAGATGTCCCAGATTGTTTACCCTCTGTTGTTTTGCTGTTGTAATTTTAGAGTTTTTTAAATACTGGTAGCCAGATTTTGTTCATTTTCATGGTTTCCTCCTTTCTGTTGAAATTGTCCACATGCTTGTGGATTTCAATGGCTTCTCTGTGTAGTCTGACATGGTGGTTGTGAGAGTGGTCCAGCATTCTGTCACTACACAGAGAAGCCATTGAAATCCACAAGCATGTGGACAATTTCAACAGAAAGGAAGAAACCATGAAAATGAACAAAATCTGGCTACCAGTATTAACTCAAAAATTACAACAGCAAAACAACAGAGAGTAAACAATCAGGCACATCAAATCACTCTCAACAAAAGATTCCCCCCAGGCACTTCCAAGCCATTAAATGCTAATCAAGGTGGTCAGTTGAAACATTCACACCTAGCTCCAGCAGACAAAGAGTCCTTTGTCCCACCCTGGTCATTCCACAGATATATAAATGCCTCTAGAACATGGCCATATAGCCCGAAAAACCTACAACAACCCAATGATTCCGGCCATGAAAGCCTTCGACAATACGATGAAGAAGTCCCTTGAGTAGAGGGAGGTGGACACTGTCGTTTGCAACACAGGACCCTTCTATATGCCAGAATTTGATCCCAAGTTTATACCGGATTATCTGGCAGTGTGGACTCATATAATCCGGTTTAAAGTAGAAAACCTGGGATATAGGGCCTGTCTAAAAGGCCCCTTCTACACGACCATATAAAATCCAGATTATCTGCTTTGAAATGGATTAAATAGTGTAGACTCATATTGTCCAGTCTAATGTGGATTATTTGCTTTGATAATCTAGATCAGGGATCCTCAAACTTTTTAAGCAGAGGGCCAGGTCACAGTCCCTCAAATTGTTGGAGGGCCGGATTATAATGTATTGTCGAAGGCTTTCATGGCCGGAATCACTGGGTTGTTGTAGGTTTTTCGGGCTATATGGCCATGTTCTAGAGGCATTCTCTCCTGATGTTTCGCCTACATCCATGGCAAGCATCCTCAGAGGTAGTGAGGTCTGTTGGAACTAGGAAAATGGGTTTATATATCTGTGGAATGACCAGGGTGGGACAAAGGACTCTTGTCTGCTGGAGCTAGGTGTGAATGTTTCAACTTGACCACCTTGATTAGCATTTAATGGCTTGGAAGTGCCTGGGGGGAATCTTTTGTTGAGAGTGATTTTATGTGCCTGATTGTTTCCCCTCTGTTGTTTTGCTGTTGTAATTTTTGAGTTTTTTAATACCGGTAGCCAGATTTTGTTCATTTTCATGGTTTCTTCCTTTCTGTTGAAATTGTCCACATGCTTGTGGATTTCAATGGCTTCTCTGTGTAGTCTGACATGGTGGTTGTGAGAGTGGTCCAGCATTTCTGTGTTCTCGAATAATTCCACAATCATGTGGACAATTTCAACAGAAAGGAAGAAACCATGAAAATGAACAAAATCTGGCTACCAGTATTAACTCAAAAATTACAACAGCAAAACAACAGAGAGTAAACAATCAGGCACATCAAATCACCTCTCAAAGAAAGATTCCCCAGGCACTTCCAAGCCATTAAATGCTAATCAAGTGGTCAGTTGAAACATTCACACCTAGCTCCAGCAGACAAGTCCTTTGTCCCATCCTGGTCATTCCACAGATATATAAACCCATTTTCCTAGTTCCAACAGACCTCACTACCTCTGAGGATGCTTGCCATAGATGTAGGTGAAATGTCAGGAGAGAATGCCTCTAGAACATGGCCATATAGCCCGGAAAAACCTACAACAACCCAATGATTCCGGCCATGAAAGCCTTCGACAATACGATGAAGAAGTCCCTTGAGTAGAGGGAGGTGGACACTGTCGTTTGCAACACAGGACCCTTCTATATGCCAGGATTTGATCCCAAATTTATCCCGGATTATCTGGCAGTGTGGACTCATATAATCCGGTTTAAAGTAGAAAACCTGGGATATAGGGCCTGTCTAAAAGGCCCCTTCTACACGACCATATAAAATCCAGATTATCTGCTTTGAAATGGATTAAATAGTGTAGACTCATATTGTCCAGTCTAATGTGGATTATTTGCTTTGATAATCTAGATCAGGGATCCTCAAACTTTTTAAGCAGAGGGTCAGGTCACAGTCCCTCAAACTGTTGGAGGGCCGGATTATAATGTATTGTCGAAGGCTTTCATGACTGGAATCACTGGATTGTTTGTCGGTTTTTTCGGGCTATATGGCTATATTCTAGAAGCATTCTCTCCTGACGTTTCACCTGCATCTATGCCAAGCATCCTCAGAGGTTGTGAGCTCTGTTGGAGTTAGGAAAATTGGATTTATATATCTGTGGAATGACCAGGGTGGAACAAAGAACTCTTGTCTGCTGGAGCTAGGTGTAAATGTTTCAACTGACCACCTTGATTAACATTTGATGGCCTGGCAATTTTGGTATGGCTTGTTAGTGCCTGGGGGAATCTTTTGTTGAGAGGTAATTCTCTGTCCCTGATTGTTTTGCTGTTGTAATTTTAGAGTTTTTTTTAATACTGGTAACCAGATTTTGTTCAAAGGAGGAAACCATGAAAATGAACATGACCATTTATTTATTTAAAACATTTATATTCCGCCCTTCTCACTCCAAAGGGGACTCAGGGTGGAGCACAGCATATATGCAGCAAACATTCAATGCCGGGACACAAATTCACATACACATAAACATTTAAAAACATTTATCAAAATATTAAAATACACCATTCAAAACCGTCCTAGTCATCCCCGTCAAATCCAATTGGCCTGGTCATCTTTCCTATTGCCGCTTTATTGCCCTGTCCCGAAAGCTCAGTCCCACAGCCAAGTTTTTACCATCCTTCTAAAGGACAGGAGGGAGTGGGCTGACCTGATCTCACCAGGAAGGGAGTTCCATAGCCAGGGAGCAATCACCGAGAAGGCCCCCTCTCTCGTCCCCACCAATCGTGCCTGTGACAATGGCGGGATGGAAAGCAGGGCCTCCTCAGAGGATCTTAATCGCCATGATGGTTCATAGGGGGAGATGCGTTCGGACAGGTAAATTGGGCCGGGGCCGTTTAGGGCTTTATAGGCCAAAGCCAGCACTTTGAATTGTGCCCGGTAGCAAACTGGCAGCCAGTGGAGCTGGCGTAACATGGGAGTGGTATGCTCCCTGTATGCTGCCCCAGTTATTAACCTGGCTGCCTGGCATCATTTCTGAAAGTGATCCATGCCCCAAATATCGTATTTGGGGGGATTCTTGCAAATAATAAATTAATCCATGGGCAGTATAAAAACATATTGTTCTTTTAACATAAGACCTGATTTTCATCTCTCCTTGACTCTGTATTTTTAAAGTGTTATAGGCCAAATTTTGAGCCATCTATTCCTTATCAACAAAATACATGGGGATTTCCATCCTCAAATGAACAGCAAATATGATTCCCATTTTTATCATCTTGACTCCTTGCCAGATGTGATACTATAGAAGAGGGAGGAAAAAGAAAACAGCCAGACCGACTTTTATATCTTTACCAGAATGCAAAGAGGTTCATGTGACACTATTAGTCAATATACTTTGCTACTGAGAGCCAAGTCAATTTATTTATTTATTTATATTTTAAAAAAAACCCATAATTCTTCTCCTTGAAGCTGAAAAAAGAAGTGGATTAATCTCAGATGAACATAAGGTGCCCGTCTTATGATTTCCTTTTGTTATGGACTTTGAAGCTGACATATTACTCAGAACAAACTATTCACATCAAGCATTCAGCAATAGGAAAGGTTCCCCAATAAATCTAACAGATATAACATAGTCAAATGCACCATATACGCGAAATAGTAGGGTTGGTATTTGCTATAGCAGGGTTGGTATTTGCTATCCCAACCCTGCTATACGCCTGCGAGACGTGGACTGTCTACAGACGTTACATGCAACTCCTGGAACGATTCCCTCAGTGCTGCCTCCGGAAAATCCTGCAAATCTCTTGGGAAGACAAACGGACAAATGTCAGAATGCTGGAAGAAGCAAAGACTACCAGCATTGAAGCAATGGTCTTCCACCATCAACTCCGCTCGATCGGCCACATGGTGTATAGGCTGCATAGTGCTGTCATATTCATAGAAAATGCACAAATATTATGGGGTGGGGACTGTGGGCAAGTCTGTTTTCTCTACATATGACGTGTTGGGGAATGCTGCCACAATGTCTTATGATTTGGTGTATTACTTACTTACTTATTGACTTAGGCGATCCCTCGATGTCCGAGTAGGATGGTCTTCTAAGGTCAGTGTGTTGGCGGGTCCGTAGGTGACTATGGAGACCTATTCTTGATATGCATCTTCTCCCGCAGTGAGGGCATTG